CAAGCAAACTAAACCACAGGCTAGATAAGCTATGGAAACCAAAACATTTTTTATCATGGGCAAGATTGTGACATGCACATAGACAAGCACTCTACAGTCTTCCATACTTCTGTATCTAATGAGTTCAGTACTCCATTATTCTTTAAATGCTGCTGTTATCCACTGGTTACCACAAAACTTTTATTTCTTTTTTAAATCCAAGAGCATTTCATAGTATGTTTGAGGTGAATAAATAAATCTGTATACAACAGAAGTGGGTACATGTTTGCATAATATCATTTAAATACAACACTTACTACCTCCTGATTACTGCTCCAGCTTGATATTTGGTTGGTCTTTCTTAATCCTTCTTCATCTTTTTTGTGTGTTATGTATATTGTTATGCACGTGTACACATATGGTTATATGTGTGTATGAAATGAAATGAAATGAATGAAAAATACTTTATTTAAGGGAAATTCACACAGTGTATCTATATATATATACACTCACCGGCTACTGTACTACACCTGTCCAACTGCTTGTTAACGGTCAAGACGATCTGCTGCAGTTCAAACTGAGCATCAGAATGGGGAAGAAAGGTGATTTAAGTGACTTTGAACGTTGCATGGTTGTTGGTGCCGGACGGGCTGGTCTGAGTATTTCAGAAACTGCTGATCTACTGGGATTTTCACACACAACCATCGTGTCAACGTCACAGCCTCCCTGAGTATTGTTGCTGACCATGTCCACCCCTTTATAATCACAGTGTACCCATCTTCTGATGGCTACTTCCAGCAGGATAAGGCGCCATGTCATAAAGTGTGAATCATCTCAGATTGGTTTCTTGAACATGACAATGAGTTCACTGTACTCCAATGGCCTCCACAGTCACCAGATCTCAATCCAATAGAGCACCTTTGGGATGTGGTGGGACGGCACATCATGGATGTGCAGCCGACAAATCTGCAGCAACTGTGTGTTGCTATCATGTCAATATGGAGCAAAATCTCTGAGGAATGTTTCCAGGACCTTGTTGAATCTATGCCACGAAGGATTAAGGCAGTTCTGAAGGCAAAAGGGGGTCCAACCCGGTACTAGCAAGGAGCACCTCATAAAGTGGCCGGTGAGTGTATGTGGGTATGTATGTCTGCATTCATGTATATATATGTGCAGAATTTCATATTGGTGTTACTGATTTTTTTGTTCCGTCTTTTCTTTGGTGCAGGTTGAACCATGTGACATTTAAGTGGCAATCCCACCTAACCTTGCTTTGTAGATTATCCTCCAAAACACATCAAATCAGTACATGCACTCCATCAGATATATGCCACAAAATTTACACTGTATAAAGAGGAGTTTCCAGATGGCACCAACAGAGGGCACAGAACACCAGTAAATCAGCTGCAGTGAGAAGAGATCTGATGTCTCTTCTGTTGTTAAAATGTTCTGCGTCATGGCAACTTCTGCTGCCACAAATAACTGATATGTCAACACAAGCTTGTGAAGCTCCTCGTCTACTTCAATCAATTTTATGTGATCATCAAAGGAAAAATCTGATTTTAAACTAATCTTTTTATGCATTATAGAGGCGGTAGACCTTCAGATGGCGTTCAGGTGAACCTCTCACAGGAAACTTGTGGCATAGTTTCCTGTGGGGGATTTTCTTCTTGTCTTCCTAGAAGTCGCAGCACTGCAACTTCTAGGAAGACATTCATACAAATTTTACATTAACTTTTGTACTCACTGTAACATCATAGTCAACAACTTGCAGGACAGTATTTTTTGGTAATTTACATGTACTTCACATCAAGTGTTTCAAACAAATATTACATATATTTTATGACTTCATTGATTTAGTGACAGTGTCATCCTACGCACTTGCAAAGCCTGCACCTGCCCCTGAAGCTCCTGCTTATAATTTGTGTCATCTGGCTTGTGGTAATTTAACTAAAACATTTATTTGACAATGCGCAGAACAAAAATAAACTGATAAAGCCTTTCCAGAGGTTGAGGACATGAAGAGGGCTCATTTGTCAAAATCCAGCATCGAGAAGAGCTCTGCATGAACTGAAGGGAAAACAGGGTCATTTACAAAAGGATGTTTGCGTACTTTAAAGAATAAACACTGAAAAACTAATCTTTGTGTTTTTTCTTACATTACAATATGAACGTAGTACATGACTACAGCACACCTGTGTTATCTGCAGCTGTCTGTGTGCACAAAGGAGTATAATAAAGGCTTGATGATACAGGAAGCCACACTCTGACAGCAGACAGATTGATTCCCTAAATTTTGCTACATATGAAACCTCAGCAGTCGTATTTCTTCACGTAAGGCGCAGCTGTTCAGCCATGTCATTGTGTGTTTATTTCACTCATTATGTTTGTTGTAGCATGTAAAAAAAACACCATATGGAAATATTAACAAGATTAAAAACTCATTTTTTTTATTGAAAGAGCCTTTAAATTGGCACCATCATTCAGACAGGCTCACATTTCTGCAGATTTAATTCTAAATAACATGATTTATGCTCTTAAACATTTCGTACCCATTTAAATTTGTACAGATGAGCACTCTAATGTACAATCTGCATTTTAAATCAAATGTGCTAAAAGACAGAGCATGGATGTTCATGACGCATCTGGAAGACAACAGTCACTTCACACACATGTTAAAACGACCCTAAAAGTCACAGCATCAATAAAATCTGATGTAGCTAGAGCCATAAAGCTGACATCCAGCCAATCCAAAATACTGTTCTGTGGCTGCTTTTATGATCCGTTTGTTTTTCACATCTTTCATTGATGTAATACAGAGGGGTTGAACAGGGCCAGAGCCAAACAGAACACAGCTCAGCATCCTGAATCGTGCATTACTGGAGCTCAGCTCAGCCTCCTTCATCAAACATTAACAACCGCGCAGACGCTGCGTCACGCTACACAAACAGATGGAGAATGTTGACTTCTTTTCCTTGACTTTTTTCAGTATTACATCAGCCTCAATGCAGGATCAATATGATTTCCAAACTGAGTTATGTCTGTTTTGTCACATGTAAATTGCTGCTACAACACTTTAATTTCCCTTATAAGAATACCATAGGCAGCACAGTGGTTCAGGCTGTTTGGTATGTGTGATGTCCATGTTCATATTTGGAAACTAGATTGTAGCCATATAAACATCAAAAACAGAATCAGGTTATTGTCAGGTATGTTTTTGCAGACAAGGACTTTGAGGTAAGGAGAAATGTTTAAATAGGATAAAAAAAGATTTGAAAAGAAAGCAAGTGTTTCAAGTTAATAGACAGTGTTACAAGACAAATACGACAGCAAGTCAAAGACAGCAACTGGAGCAAATACAAGGAATTTTAAGGAATAAAAAGCAACAGAAATGTTCAGTGTGCAGTAATGTGCAAATAGAGAATGTGCATATTTACATAGTATACGGTAAATTTGCACATTGCGCTATGTAAAAATAAACAGTATATGATGTAAACAACTAAACATGATTTAGGAATGGGTTTTATATATAAAATAAAGTAATCATCTCTTTTGCAATTAACCTACAGGCTATAATCATTCACCTAAATGAATGAAATCAAGTCATTTTGATGCTTAGTTAAGTCAGATTGCAGAGGCGTAAATCACTGAAGAATGCATTATACCTATGAATCAAAATGGGCCTTTAAAGCTATTTCAACAGGTATAAAGAACTGGCTAGACTAGACTAGATTAGACTAGACTAGACTAGAATAGAATAGAATAGAATAGAATTTCTTTATTGTCACTGCACAATGTAAGCAACAATCCTGTCATTCACACAATCAGACAACTCTATAAGTAAGAAATATGCAAAATATGCTCAAAATATAATAAATGTATTATTTTATTATGATTTTGCATGTCACTGCACTTTGTGAAAATACAGTGGTTTCCAGTGGTGCAAAATGTGCATGCAAGCTGCAATTGTATGTAAGCATATTTAGAGGTTCAGTATATATACACAAAAAAATATATATAATATATACTTCTTTTTTTTTCTTTTTTTTTTTAAAGGTGCAAAGGTGTTGGTTATTTACTATGTAGAAGAAAACAGGTGCACCAAAAACTGGTCTTCTGCCAAAAATTGATTCTCTCCGATGTCTACAGCTGCTTTTATCTGGGTCAAACAGTCTTAACACGCAAATGTACAGAGCTTTATATCTGTGATGAACGCAAGTTTATATCTATGTAAACCTTTCCTGTAACTGTATAGTTCTGAGCAAAAAAGTACAAAAGTTTGAAAAAGTTTGCAATGTGCAACATAATCAGAGTTGACATTCAAGGTTATAATAGAGATCAGCAGGCATCAGCTAGTAGATGAACTGACAACTGCTCTGATAATTGATTAATTGGTTTGAGTCATTTTAAAGGAGAAAAAAGTCTCAATTTTCTGACTCCAGCATATTAAAAGTGAATATTTTTTTGGATTTCTTTACTCCTCTGTAATAGTAAACAGAATAGATTTGGACTGTGGACAAAACAAAACATTTGATGACGTCATCCAGAGCTTTAAGAAACAGTAATCAACATTTTTCACCTTTTTATTTATTTATTTATTTATTTATTTATTTTTGGGAACAGATAAGTCAGCGGTGAAAATCATTGTTATTTGCAGTTGGAGTATTATAGTATAGCGTTTTTATTTTTTATTTTTTTATGTCTTTATATATACTCAGCGAGCCTTTGAATTGCTCGTAGGGGATAAATAAAGTTTTTTTTTTAATTGAATTGAATTGAATTGTATGGGTTTGTCTAATATCCTTGTTTAATAATGGGTCGATCTTCTATATAAAATAAATTCTTTTTCTAATTATCCTACGAGTTAAAATATTTAAAATATCACCTTCATGTGTGGAATGAAGTCAGTTTGGTCTGTACTGTCCCACCGAGCCTTCAATAGGCGGAGACGAAATTCGACACTGCACCGGAAGTGTTGTGGATTTTTTGGGGGTGTAGTAAGCTGGTGCTATGTCGATAGAGAGCAGCTTTCATGCGTGGAGGCGGTTTATGAACTACCGTATCCGTTGTACATTCCCGCCACGTGTATGGACGACGAATTTATTCAAGCGGTAATTCGTCTCGCCGCTGAGCCATTTTGGACCATTTGGTAGAAGCGTTCTGTGGTGAACATTATGAGAATACACTGACAGGAACCAACGTTTTTCTCCCCCCCAAGGTGAGTCTGTCACATTTCAGCATCACTGTCGGTAGCTAGCTCCGTGTTATAACACGGCGGTGCTGCCAGCTTTATAGTGTAATGCCAGGTTGGGCTCTATTTGTGTAAAGGAACAAATGTTCAGGAAGGTTCTTGCTCTGTCAAAATGTGCCACAACGAGTTCACAAACGTATGTACAAAGTGTGTTTTTTAAAATTCGTATCAAGCTACATGAGTTTAATTTGATGCTACTAGCTTATTCCGGTGCCTTCACTGCTTCTTGGTAGCGCGTAGCAGGTGTGTTGTTAGCTACGTACACGTGAAACATGGTGTCCATAATATAATGAAGATGATGTTCTACATAATTTCCCTTCTTTAATGATTTGGCCATTTCTATTTAGACATGAACCACGGCTGTCTGTGCTACCAGTGAGACAATATGTTAACAGTACATATGGTTGAACCTACACTGTACACAATAGAGAACTCACTTTAGGATTTTTTCAACAATCAGATGTGGATTATTGATCCTATTTCCCTGATATTAATATCGTACACAGCCCCGGTCATCAGTGCACATGGCCGGTGTGAGGCAGTATGGATTACTGTAAGGAATGTTTACCTATGACTCAGTAGGGAGGTTTTTATACAGAGATCATATAATGGATAATACGTCCCAGTGTGCATGTGGACCGTGATGCTTACATTTAGTTCTTCAGCCTCTATGCTTCAAAGCATCCAGTTTAAATAAAATAATGAATATTACATAAAAGTGCTACATCCCAGCTTTACTTTTGAGCAGGTTTACAAGAACTGTGTGAAAGTTAGAGCTATTTAAAACACTCCCTCTGGAAAAAGTCAAGTGTTTTACCTTGTTAGCATGTTTGTTTGTGTTTTTCTAACATGCTGGAAGACATAACATGACAGTCTTAAGAATGCAGATTGAACTGAATTGTGGGGTAGAGCTTTCAGTCGTGTCATTCTTCTTTGATTTATCCCAGTATTCCAACTAACCAGAGCAAGATCGCGGTGTAGAGTTACATCTAAGCCATTATTTTTAGGCAGGAAGGGATTATTTTCATGGAAAAGCATTCACCTGTATTGTACTTTGATACAAAGGCATGAGTTTTAGGAGTTAAGTCAAAAACTGGGACGGCACTTTATCACACAGTGTCCAAACTGCCTGGGGTCCTCGGTAATGGGACACTTGGCTGCCAAATGATATTTCAATGTCAGTTCATGAACAAAAAGAGCTCCCACGAGACTGAGAGCTGGTTAAGAGTTGCCATTTAGGTTTAGGTCAAGTTGTTTGACAGTGTAAGGGGCAAAGAGGTCACCATGTAACACAAGATCATTCAAAAAAGCAAAAGTCTGTCAGAGATATCAAAGGTAGTTAGTTTGCCAAAATCGAAAGTTGGATTAATTTTTTTAAAAAAGCAGATGCTCACAGAAAAATTAGAATCTGGCAAATGAGGAGCACACGTCTTGGTGATGATTCAAGATTCAAGGCCTTTATTGGTCACAAACACAGTTATACATGATATAACGCGCAGTGAAATGCTTTGCGTACCTGTTCCACACCGAAACAATAAGATGAATAAAAATGAAGTAAAAAACACACAAGAAATAAATATATATGTATATATATATAGGGGGAGAGAGAGAGAGAGAGAGGGAGGAAGGGATTAAAAGAAAAATAAGCAAAATAAATAAATGAAATCTTCACACAGTGCAAAAGGATGTGGGGAAAATCTTTTGCATCCTGAGGAAAACCCCTTTTATAACTGCACAGCATGTCAGGAATGTTCACCAGGATATAGGTGGACATGTTTCCTCGTAAACAATCACGTTGAGACTTCATGAGCAACTTCAGATAATTCACTGCAAGATTTTAAAAGCAAAAAAACTCATTAAAATGATGCACCACCCTATTTTGTACATGTTATAACCTGGGTGTGTACTGCTGGTAATGAAACTGGCATTTATTGACGATTTCCCTGTTGACAGAAACAACAGGATGAATCCAGAGGTATACATGAGCACACTGTGTGCTCAGAGTGTCACAAATCTGCCAAAACTAATTGAGGCATATTTCATAGCTCTGCAGGGCAACAATCTTTTGAGCTTAATTTGAAGGTGAGGAGGTGAAATATCCTCGACTGGCCGAATCACCTGATGCCAGTCCATCTGAGCTGCGTTTCGCTTGCCGGAGACCAGATTAAAGGTAGACAGATGCAAGAACGAGTCGGAACATAGTACCTGGTTTTTCATGAAATTGAGTGTGCTGAAGGATAGAGGCCAAAGAACAAAAAAACGGTGGATTGTAGATAACAAAGCATTGCAAAGAAGCATTGTTACTCAAAACAGAAGCAGCAAATGGCACAAAACCAACCCGATAGTTCCTAAATTAATGTCTAAAGGACCTGATGTGGTGCTCATGCTTCTGTTTTGGTCTATTTCCACTTTTGTTACCCTTCCTCGACCATGGCTACTTCATAGGCAGTGGCTGTTTTTGCTAGATTTCTCTTAATTCTCTATCACTAGCTATAAATGCCATTTTCAGTCTGGTACTTTTACATTCGAGGGACTTGAACTCACCTGTTGGCTCACAAGTAGCTGCCTTGTGAGCTGCGATGAAGTCTGTGGGTGTGTGTTTGTAGACACAGTATGTATAAATGCTTTCTTTGCCCGCTGCAGTTTCCCTGCATCTCTGTATAGGAGGAACAGTTTGCTATGTTGTCAGTGGAAACGCCCAGCCAACAAAAAAGCTTTTCTAAGGCATTGATTGATTTCTGTCAGTGAACAATTAATAGCTGTGTGTGTGTGCGTATGCATTACTTAACCAAGTGAATTAGGAGTATTGGAAAGCATAAATTAGAGTAGACTGATGGAGGAAGACTTGTGTATGTAGACGCAAATGTTTTTTGTCCTAAATGAAGAGACGCAAGCGCAAGTAGTGTTTTGTGTTGCTAGGAGCAGAGCAAGTTATTTTCCACCTTGTGTTTTGGCAGCTAATATCCTCCACACTCATCTCCTAAATGCCTACTTCAGAGCGGTCAGGCTTCATAACCGGTGTTTGCAAAGGACAACATATTGTAATTTTGCCTTCGGAGGGATTGTCCTCATAGTGACGTTTGTCTGAGTAAACATCTCTGAGGACCTGACGGATGTTCACTGGACAAAGGCAGTTGTAAAATGGCACATCAGTGTTCATTCAAGGCTTATACATTTCTCTCACGTTGGCATGTTGCCTCACAGATTTAGGAGGTTCCTCTCACATGATACAAAGAGGCCACTTATCCTCCCTGTCCTGTATGTTTTCTTGCTGAAAGAGGGGCCTTGGTGATAAAGGAGACAGGGAAAAGGACTAGAATGTTAAAGTCCTGCTCCTCTTGAAAATGTGTATGGCCTCATGTTAAGATAAGATTAGATAAGATAAGATCAACTTTATTGATCCCACAGTGGGGAAAGTTCACCACAGCTCCAAAAAGAAAAACACAGTTACAGTAACATGTTACTTTGCCTGGGTTGTTTGACCTTCAGTAGGCAATAGGAGTCTAACACTAGAAGGTTGTTTATTGAGAGTAAAGGTTTCTCTGTGTTTTTACCTGAAATCTGTGAACATGTACATGGACTTTTACATGAACTGCTATGACTACGAAGCACACAGACTGAGGATAAACTTTTCAGTGAAATGAACAATATTTGGAGAATTACTGAATCTGGATTTGTCAACTCTTAATTTGGTAATTTAACTTTTTTTGTGGAACAATATAGGGCTAAAAAAAAAATGTTGACTGAAATCATACCGACTTGTCAACCAGTAATTTTTTGTAAAACATTTTGCATGTTATGTCCAGATTAACGTAAAGGGCAACTGTGCACTGACTGACCTGCTAGCATTTTTCGTGAAATGAATTCTAAACAAATGTGTAGAGCTCGTATTTAAAGCATTTAAAATCATTCCAAAGAAGTTATTTTATACCGAAATTACAACAACTTAGTTCCTTTGTGATGCACCAATTCACAGCATTACTCACTTCAAAACACCAAACATAGTAAAGTGATGACCTTATAATAATATTTCATAAATAGAAACCCAGCAAATCCAAAAAACTAGAGCAAGTGACAGTGGAAAGAAAAGACGTATTATTTACAGAAAAGGAATCTCCCGCAGAGCCAGGCTCAGGGAAGGCAGTTATCTACTTTGACCAGTCAGGGCTCCAGAATAACTTTTTCACTTGGTTTCTCATTTGGTCGTCGCTCCCACCTTGTCACAGGCAAAACATATGACATCTTTTACAGACCTACAATTTACCAATGTTTCCCACATAGCAGGCTGCGGTATGTGCTACCTGTTTGCTGCAGTGTGCTCAGACAGATGTATGACCAAAAATGACCTTGAAAGAGCTAACAAGGGTGTCTAATGTCAGATTTGTCTCAGATGAAACTGAGTGATTTATTTATTTTTCTTCTATCTGCACTGTTTTCTATGTGCAGAAAAACAGCAAGTGCTTAATTTTTCATGAGAAGACTGCATTTGTAAGTGTAAATACTGTAGTACACCAAAGTTAAACAAGTACTACTTTCCACCACTGCAGTTAACACAGTAGCTGCCAGTTACAGCAACAGTAATACAGCTTAATGATCATCATGTACCAGTGTGACCACTTGAGATTTTAACTCACACACTCTGGAAAAAAAAGGTCTCAAATGCAACCATTTTGGGCGGCTGTGGCTCAGGTGGTACAGCAGTTGTCCTCTGATTGTAAGGTTGGCGGTTCGATCCCCGGCTCCTTCACAGGGCAAGACATTGAACCCCAAGCTGCTCCCAATGGAAGGCTAGTGCCTTGCATGGCAGCTCTGTCGCCATTGGTGTATGAATGTGTGTGTGAAGGGGTGAATGAGAAAACATTGTAAAGTGCTTTCAGTGCCGCTAAGTTAGAAAAGCGCTATATAAGTTTATAGCATTTACCATGTTTCCTTTTGCCATGAGTCTTCTTCTATCAAACACCTGCTCTTGTAATTTGTTCTTAGTCTTGTAGAGAACAGCACACAACAGGTTTACACACAAACGTGTGTTTTTCTTCGATCTATAATCTTTAAAGTCACCTGGTGCTGTTACTGGACCAATTGTTAGCCAGCCAGTGTTTGTTTTTCTGCTCATAGAAATGATAAAGCAACCCATGTTTTTCAGCGTTGTGCAGATTGAGTATTTAATCTGAGGAGAGACTGAAGTGTGGTTCTGTAGTGTTTCGTAAGAAAGGACAGGAACATATTTTAAGTAGCTTATATCAGTTGGGTTGCACCAGCTGACATTCCTGTTGATGCAGGGAACCTGTGAGGAACTTTGGTGATCTTATTATGTCTGCTTTGAGCCCTCACCCTGAATGACCCCTGGACGTGTTTACCGTGTCGACATCAGTGTGTCCTTATAGAAAACCAAACGCCCCACCTCGGCACAGACTATACAGAGCACAGTATGATATGAATTCTCCTGGTGTACCTCATGCTGTTTTCCTCTCATTGGATTCAGAGGAACAAAGGTACAATATAGAACTTTGAAGTAGCAGGCAAGTGTGTTTGGAGACAAACACTGTGACCAACTGAGCCTGATCCACTCCCATCCGTCTTTTATAACATGTTTGATGGTATAGAACACAAAAACATTTCTTTTTATGACCTCTGTGTCCACCCTTGTCCATGATTTACTAGCACTTTCTAATTAGTTCTGCTCAGCTGCCTCAAACAAGCAGTCTAGTTAGACTGTAATGACTTTTGACCAGCATGATTTAGTGCCGGCAGGCTTTGAAAACCATGTCCAATCACTGAGAGACGCAGGCACAGGCTGTTCAACCAACCCTCTCACTAGAGAGAAAACAATTTTTATTTTTTTTATTTTCGCTTAGCTCTCCTGGAAAGTTACATTATGTACAAACCCTCCAATTCATGGCAAACGAAGGGCATTCATAACCGTGTGACGGATGGTGACTCAACTGAATCAAGTGACTTTCCTGGACGTGTGTGCCATTTCAGTGAGCTCTGAGAATGACGCAGCTGTCTTTGTGTTGGTTACTGATGCCTGTGTCACACCTGCTTTTCCTGGTAGGAAGGCGGTGTCGATTTGCACGGTTAAGGAAGTAAAACAAATGCTGAAACCGCTGGAAACCAAAAACCCTAATGCAAAATTGAAGAGTCAGTGGAAAAACAAGGAATTGGTCAGACCACCGCTGCATAACACGCAGAGAAAGATTTTTTTGTATGTTTTAGAGGAACTAGTGCGGACTGTTAAAGTAGCATAAATGTAGGTTTAGCTCTATTATGTGTCTAGTCTGATCCCTCAGCAAGTTAAAACAAGCAGAGGAGCTGTATCGCTGTGAGTGGAGAGAAAGGCTTTTCCAGTGGGTCGCTCAATAGCTTTTAGTTTGTTGATTGTTTTGCTGTGTTTGTGTGTAGACAGGTTGTGACTCTTAGGTTTTTGACCAATGTACACTGAAAACAAGGACAGAATTTGTTCCCAGCCTCAGGGCTCAGTTTCCAGTGCCAAAACCGCAATGGAAGGCTGTTTAAACTCCACTCAGTTGAGTCATTTGACTGGATGTTCTATACGCGTTTAACTACAGGCTGTTGGATAATTTAGTTCTTCTTAACACTCACATGTTCACGTGCGAAAACATGTTATCGTCTTATGTTCAGACACATATCACACCAGCGTTCTTTAGCGCGTCCCCGGGAGCAGTTTCCTTTGGGCAGCCCCTCACAGCCTCATGTCAGAATGTAAAGGGATTCCTGCATGACTAAGCAGTGAAACCCAGGCAGAGCAGGGTCAAGGAAACAAACTACACGCTTTGTGATCTTTGGCGATGTGGCTGACCTTTCTTCTCTCCTGTTTCCCTTTCAGTTTCACCAGAACCTCCTACATCAGGATGAAGGGACGGACGGGCGCTCCTCAGGACCGGTGAGTTCCAATTAGATGCAAATTGCCAATAAACTCTCACTTCTCACTATTCGCTCTCGACCACTAATTCCTCACATGTTTTGCTCTCGGCCACAGTTTCTGTGCGTTTTCTAAAAATATCTTGTTGCTGAAGGACTTCTGCAGCAGTATAAAGGCTTTTCATTCTTTAAAAATGATGCTAGTTTTATTCTCTTGTTCATTATTTACTTTCTTGTCTTCCTATCTGCAGGGCCTGCTTAGTGGGAATCATTTTCTTCATTCTGGGCCTGGGAACACTGCTGCCATGGAATTTCTTCATGACTGCTTCACTGGTAAAAACTGAAGAAATGGAACAATTGAAATAGCTTAATCCCACAAATACAGTGAATGAATGAGTACACTGGTGCACAAAATTCATGTTTTAGGAACCTCAGTTTTGGATTCATGGTTCTGTATATTTTTCCTCGCAGCAGAAATAAAACCATCCGAGAATTTAACATCTTTAAAAACATTTATTTTCAAGACACTAACATTTTCGCAAGTGTCTAAATGTCCCAAATTTTACTGTAACCATCAATAAGAAAAAATCAAAACCAAGTATGAAATAGGTAATAGAACAAATGTTTGTTTGTTTTTTTTGTTTTTTTTTTCTAAAATCACAGATTCAGCCATCCTGTTTGGATAAACTAAAGTCAAATTGTCAGTGGACAAAGTGAAAACTCAATTGATCGACAAATACAACATCAGAGAAGAAGTCACTGATTTTGGCCCAAAAGAGTTACCAAATAAAAGTCAATGTGGCGTCCGAGTTAACAAGTCATACATGTTTGATAAAACTGGCACAGTGTCTGCTTAGCTTCCATGCTAAACCTGTTAGCATGCTGTAGCTGACGGACAACAACTGGTGCACCGCCAGTCATTCCAGGGGGAACTCGCACTCCTCAAATTTTTGTTCTGGAAGCACAAGTCCATCGACATAAATAGACTTCTGATAGTAACCGTCAGGTTCACAGCGTTTTCTGAACCGAGCAAATCTCATACCAAATCAAAAGTTACGTATCGCTTGGTTTTGAAAAATACACATACCATTGCATCCCTAAGACAGGATATGAAATGTTCATTGCTTTCTTCTAATGTGACAGAGAGTTTGTCAGGTGGTTTGTTATTTAAACTGATGGTCTTAATAGGCTCTTTATTTTAAGTGTACTGCGTGCTTTGGATTAGTCAAACTGATATTTTCCAGCAAGTGGTTCAAAATTGTTGAAGTCATGCGTGTTTTGCCGTCTGTGTCTGCAGTGTTTAAATGTCATGACTTGTGGGGAGCCAAGAATCCATAGTCGATCCAGTGGCTTTGGGTAATCATGTGGATCACTGCACATGCACACGTGTTCATGTGGTGGATGAAGCCTCTGTTCACATTTCTGTTCCTTACATACCCAGAGCCCTGCAAGCACTTTAATTCCTGCTGAAAGTACTGACACTTCACAGCCGGCTATTTTCAGCTCATTACTGATGGAGAACAGAGCTGTTTGAGAGCAACCAGACAGCACAACAAAGCAGGCAGCAAACCAAGGAAGAGCAGTATTATTATCGTGAAATATCTTTATTAGATGTATGTGGATCTCTGCTAAATTTGTCTTCATTTTGATAAAGACCTCCTAAATCATCAGTTATTTGAAGTAACGCTGCGTCAATAAACAGACATCACCTCGTCCCGTATCGTGTGTTTCTTTGCCTGAAGCTGAATACAAAAACAAGAACTTCTGCTTAGGTGGCTGAAAACTGTTCTTTCTCACAGTCAGGCACACAATATGTGTCTATGAATCGTCAGAGTAAAAGTAGAATAAGAGGAACATAAGAGTGAACATGAAACTTCCATCACAACTGCATTGATTGTTTTTGTTTTGTTCTTTCTAGAGGAACAAACGCTAAAAACAACTCTAAAGCTGCTAAGCTTGTAATGCTGCCAAATGTTTCATTGTTTACCAGCTAGTTGCTAACTTTGTATTATTTGGTGTTGTGAAGGAAGTTTAGAATAGGGCTTTTTTTTTTTAAATAAAAAGAGCTGCCTGTTGCTGCTGGAAAAGGGCTGGACGACAGCTGTGAGAATAAATCAAAACAATGGGCAATGAGGATACAAACAACCCAAAAGAATTGGTAAAGAAGCTGAAATTCAACACTGGGGTCAGGGGTGATCATTTGGTAATAAGTCACTACAAGGTTATCAATACAAGCACTTTTTAAAACAATACATTCAAAGGTCAGTTGACTGATTGTTCATAAAAGTAGATTATGGCAGACAGTGTTTAACTGATTTCCTTAAGTGATCACTACAAATGTGTGAATGTTTGTATGAGTAGGAGTAATATTTGGACAGCTCACAAGGAAAGCAGCGAAACCTTTTTATTATCAGCCAGTGTAGAGAAAGTGTAAAATTTGTCTAACACTTAAAAAACTACTTAGTATTGTTGTTTAAATGATGTACACTTAGTAGAGCTTGCATGTAAAGATATGTACATTTATCCTCATGTGAAATGGAAGCATACACAGTAGCTTGACAGTGATAATCTAACTTCTGTCTCCTTCCTGCTGGGTTTGTAGTATTTCCAAGGTCGCCTGAACACAACGGAATGGAGCAACGGCACAGTGGTAGTCCGCAAAGAGTACTACTTCAACAACTGGATGACCCTGCTGTCCCAGCTGCCCCTGCTGCTATTCACCCTGCTCAACTCCTTCCTGTACCAGAGGTCAGTGACACTGTTGAAGGACAATGTGCCTAAGTTGTTTAGCACAAATGGACAATGTTTAGTAGAAGTAATCATTCTAATTAGCTCTGGGGCATGTGCTCATTGTGAATACTCAACTTTAGGTACTACAAAGTTGCACGTATCGTGTGTCTCAATGCGTTCCTTGTGTTTCAGGATATCGGAGGCAGTGCGTATCGCAGGCAGCCTCGTTTTTATCCTGCTGCTCTTCATCCTCACAGCAGTGCTGGTCAAAGTGCCCATGGAGGAAGACCGCTTCTTCTCCGTCACCATGGCTACTATCTGGTTCATTAACTGTAAGTCAGTCTAACTCTGTGTGAGAGAAAACTGACAGAGAGATGTGTGTCACAGTGATAAGGCGCTACAATAAACAACCCCTCCTCTCCCCCGACAACCTTTCAGCGTTCGGTGCCGTGCTGCAGGGCAGTCTGTTCGGCCTGGTGGGTCTGCTGCCTCAGAAGTACAGCGCTATCTTCATGAGCGGCCAGGGCCTCGCCGGGACCTTCGCTGCCATCGCCATGCTGCTCGCCATCGCCAGTGAGCCACCCACATACACACAAAACGCCACCGGGTGTCTAATCCTCAGTTGCCTAGAAACAGAGGGCATTGAAAATGAACGCAGAGCTAGTCAAATCAGTATGACGGCACACCACACACTCTTTGCCTCTTTAAAGAAGCAGCTCATGTTGGGTCCTGTTGTGTAGTGTTTTTTTTCCCTCCTGGTGTTTCTCTGTCCCACAATCCCTCAGTACTAACTTGTCTTTATGTGTTTGTCACTCAGGTGATGCAGACTCCGAGTCGGCTGCTTTGGGTTACTTCATCACACCTTGTGTGGGGACGCTGGTCACACTGTTCAGCTACCTGGTGCTGCCACGCCTGGTTAGTCAGCTTCTATCTCTGCAGGACTGCAAAACTCACAATCCATTCAGTCTCACCTAAACTACAGTATATCCTCCTCTTAACTCCTGACCCCCACATGGAGTTTAAAGAGCAGTCAGAAAATTGGATCAGTAAATACAAAATCCCCTGCCAGACTTTTTAAAATGCTGTTGGCTCCTGAACCTCTTGGTAGAGTTTTAGTCTGCCAATGTAAAACTGCTTTATCTGACTACAAGCAGGCAGAGGACTGAATTGAATTTTAATTAGATGTGGATTAAGTCATTTTTGTCGGAGTTAGTCAGCGTAAAATGTTACACAACTCTTCTGTAATCCCACTTAAGTCCCTTTTAGTCTAAACATGCATACAGAGGTCTTAGACCAATAGAGTAATCCTTGATTTTGTTTTTATTTAATTGTATTTAGTAATTCAGCTGTTGGGTCTTATGTTTTTTTTCTTTTTTTCTGGTGTTTCCCTGCAGGAGTTTGCTCAGTATTATCTGAACAAAAGCTGCAAGTACGAGGCAGACACCACGGATGAGCTGCTGAAAGGTGAGGCTTTGACTTTAGCAAGCTCTTCCTCATACGCTGAATTAAAGTCGTTAAGTTGCCCCACAGGGACGGTCGCTTTTTTTTTTACCATGCGTCAAGTACAAGTTCTTCAACATTAGCAGACTTAAGATCATCAAACATTTGTCCTTTCGTCTGTTTGCTTTTCCACTGAGTTCACAATTCTGTCCTTCACAGTCTAACTGAATCAAGTCAATTCAGTGGAACATTATCTCATTAAGTCAGTTGACCCTCTATTTATCCAATTAGAATCTATGTCCAGACAAAGACAGAGCCTGTTACACTCACACAGGCCCACACAGACGCTCTGTTTTCCAGGAATGTTTAAGAACCCCAAAGAGGTCTTTTCATTCCCACACACATTTCTCTAAACCAGCTGTCACATTCGAATTGATTTCCCTTCAAGCAGATGTTGAACAATGAAGTTTTCTGTGTGTAAATGTGACGGTGAAAGCGATGCGTTCAATTGCAGGGGGCAGCACGGTGGAAAACGGGAAGCTGAACGGTCATGCCAACGGATCAGTGACTAACAGCTCAGCAAAGGGCAGCGGTGTGGCTGAGACCGAGGTGGATCCCAGTCCAGACGGGAACAAGCAGGCCTTCCTGTCTCTGGAGCCGGTGGAGAATCAGCAAGCCAAGGCCTCGGTTATAGAGGTGTTTAAAAAGGTAGACTCAAGATCACATGTTCGCTGCTCTGTCAGCGATCCCTGATTGGCATTTTTGATTGTCATTAAAAGCAATTTGGGTTCCTTGAATGTGTAAAATGGTTTAAAGACGTCTCTTTTCTTTGACTTGTAGATCTGGGTGATGGCGTTCTGCGTGACGTTTGTGTTCACAGTCACTCTGTCCGTGTTCCCTGCTGTCACTGTGGATGTCAAAACATCATTCCCAGGAAAATGGGGTATGACCGGGCCTCGGTTCAGCTCAGTGATCACGTGACGTGTCTGCTGCATTCAACTTACACCTACAGTCTGTCCATCAATACAGCTGTGTAGTCTGTGTATCCTCATCCCTTCTGCTGTGTCTCTTTTGTCTTTAGAGCGCTTCTTTATCTCAGTGTGCTGCTTCTTGATTTTCAACATCAACGACTGGTTTGGTCGGACCGTCACCACACTGATACGCTGGGTGAGTACTGACTAAGATCACTCCAACCTGATGCCCACTGAAACAGCTGTGATTATTTGTTTATTTTCTTTTCAGTGTAAATTACTTCTTAATAGTTTTTTCTCATTTTTTAAAAACTCTTAAAAACCTTTTGTCAATGAGAGTTTGGGTTTTTTTGTTTTTTATTAAAAAAGACTAAAATTTCTACAATGTTTTTCATTTTGTCATAATAGGTTATTGATTGAAAAATATGTACATTTAATTCACTTAGAGTGCAATACAGTGTGTAAAAAGTAAGGAGGTCTGCATACTTTCTTTGACAACTTCTCTTTTCTAATCGTTCTCAATGTGTGTTACTGTGTTAATGTGTCATGCTTCCTGGAACAATCCACTTCCCTTATTTACTGTCAAACCTATTTCCTCTGACTCGCTGACAGTAGGTGAATGAATGAATGAATCCTCAGACTGTCTTGCGCTTTCCCTGGAAGAGTACCTTGCATCATTTTCTTATGCAAAATTGCAGCCGTCGACCTATTTCAACACTCTGCAACCATGTTGTGGTGAGCCTCAATGGCACACAAAACGCCTTTGAATACATTTTACATACTAGTTTTCATTTAAAATAACGATATTAAACTCTGGTTTCTTGTTGTTTTTTTATGTCACATTCAGCTTCAGGTGTAAAAGCAAAACCAGGATTCTTTTAAATAGAATGTTGCAGGTACTTCATGTGCAGAAATACTAAATACAGTTGGTGTTTGGTGTGAACAGAGCCCATTCTAGTGGCTCCACTCGCACACAGCTTTTAAAAGTACTCTGTAGATGGCTAATTCCTGCATTCAAGTAATCCCATACTGATTTAATGTGAAGATCAGGGGCTCTGTGGGGGCCAGACCATCTGTTGCAGGACTGTTTTTCTTCTGGCTGAAGATATTTCTTTTTGACTGTGGCTGAATGTTTAGGGTCGCTATCGTGCCCAGAGATGTATTTGAGACACCTCATAGTGATACTGTGTGATGGATGAGAATCTAAACAGCTGAAGCTCCTAAAACTTTGGCTCAGCAGTGTCTGTGTAAACAAATGTTATATTTTCCATATTTAACAGCTTGCAAATGAAAGCAGTTCATCACATTGACACTAGATCATATCACTCATATACGTGTAGCAGTATGGAAACACTGCGTTGGTTTAAAAAAACATTGTTGGTGTTGTGATCAAACGCGATTGTTTAAATGTGTTTGCAGAACCCATTAAACTAAAAGCAATCATTCGGAGCGAATACAATAAATGAGATGGAAGGAACATGACTCAGATATCCTGTGCCCCTGCCTGGAAACTACCTCACTCACCCTCCACTGGAACAATAATAGTAACATTAAACCCTGACTGGAGGGCATGAAGTGATAGTGGGATTTGGCTCGCTCTCTTGTAGTAGCTGCTCTGTCAGAAGCTGGTATCACATTTTTTTTGTGTTTTTACACCACCAGATGGTCCCGTCTCTCCCACACAACTCAGTATTCTGAGCTCAAACGCCTACATACAAAAAAAACACCCTCCTGTGACCTACATCCACTCTATCTGGCAGCGCTTTGTGATTGACTGTTAACATCAGTTCCTCTTGTACAAGTTTATTTGTTACCTCAATGTAATGAAAATATCCATCCATAATGTGTTTCTTCCTCTCCCACTCATTTGTTTTACATGTTCAGACATTCACCGCTTTCTGTCATGTATTCATCTGCCTCCATATAAACTCCTCTTTTCCCGTCTCCTCTGCAGCCCAGCAAAGAATCCCGTCTGTTCCCAGCGCTGGTGGTCTCCAGGGTGGTGTTCATCCCTCTGCTGATGCTCTGTAACGTCCAGAGTCGCTCCTACCTCCCCGTTCTCTTTTCCCACGATGCCGCTTTCGCCATCATCATGGCTCTGTTCTCTCTGTCCAGCGGCTACTTCGTCTGCCTTTCCATGTCGTACGCACCGCAGTGAGTAGAAACAAGTTTGTCACACGTTCTGAATAGATGTCAGTAAAAAAAAAAAACTGTGAGAATATCAGTGTGTACTCGAATAGCTTTCTGAACTGTTATCAGAGCTGCTTGATATGATTTTTTTCCTTATATTGAGTAAATATTTTGGGTCACAGAAGAATTTGGGAATGTCACACCTATTATTGCAGCTCTGATGCTTGTCACAGTTGACATCTTGTATTACTTTATCTTTATCTGAAACTTCGCTACATGATATATTATCGAACGTACATTTAAAGCTGATGCATGGGTAGAAATCAACAACAACAAAAAAAGTAATTTAAGAAGGAGATGCATCAAGACAAACCAACAGTGCCACATAAGGCAGATATAAATCAGACCCAGGAGGTTTCCATCGGAGGATGCCAGCAGTTTTTTCCTGGCAGTCGTACAAATTAAGGTCAGTGAGCTCCTCCAGTTGTAAACATCGTGCTTCAAACTACGCTCAGATACACACTGCATCATAAAATAAACGAAAAATCATTGATAGGTAATCAGAGTAAGAAGGCATCCAAGTGTTTTAAAAATGTTACTGATGAGTATAGTTGTGTAAAAACAGAAAAAGACACTAATCAATAATCAAAGCTGTCAAAAAGAAGATCTTGTATAAAAGTAGACTGTCAACAGCCATTATGTGATTATACAAAGGATGCTTGGCTGACTTCAACCTGCTTCCACGTCAGAAAGTCTTATGAGCAAATTGCAACGCTTCCATTTTTTAGCTCACAGGTTAATATCAACAGTCTTTCCTCGAGCAGCTATTTAGTTTGACTTGTGTGTCTGTTTATGGTGCAGACAAACGATCTAACACAAATGCAAAAGTTCTACAATTTGATTATATATACATTGTTTCCTGGGACGACATCATAATAAAAGTGAGTCGTATCATAGGATGGAGGATTTTACTGTGCAGCAGTAGGGAGTGTTTGGTTGGCATTAGCGGTGATTGAAAATAGCTCTGATATGACTCTACAAGGATTGACGCTAAACAGTGAGGCTGATATCTGAATTTACAAAAAAGCAATCTGAATTCTGCATGGAAACGGCGAACTCCACCAAGAAGAATTGGTAAATGCTTTGAGTGGCTGTTGCTTAATTAATGTTGTGCATTAACGTTATCAAGAAGTGGGTTTGATTTTATGACGCTCCTCCATATATACTGTAGGTTATATGCACCATTTAATGCAAACTCTTGAATCTCTGAGTGTCCTTGAACGCATCCTTTGTCCATGCTCCATCCCCATGACAACAAAGCACAACTTTGACAAAAAATCAAAGCAGCTGAATGCTCATTGTGATGAATCAGCTCGTGTTTCAAGTCTCAGCAAGTTGCTCTACAGTGTTCAGCGAAGTGGACTGGAAACTACTGACTCCCTTTAGAGACTTCCTGTGTTTTGTAGAATTGAATAATAACAACAGACTTTATGTTACCATGCGTAGCTAAATGTGACGTCTGTCTTCAGGTTAGTGGAGCAGAAGGACGCAGAGACCGCTGGAGCGCTGATGACCTTCTTCTTGGCCCTGGGTCTGTCCATAGGAGCCGCCCTCTCCTTCCCCCTCCGAACTCTGGTCTAGACACACCTGCAGAGCCGCTTGGACGTTGGAATATACTTACAAACACCCAAAGGAAGACGTGCGAGAAGTAGTTTATCATCAGTCTGCTCCTCCTGTACGATCTTCTTGTTTATTCCCCCTCTTCTGTCAGACAGTCCTGACAGGCACGGGCCCTCAGTGACGCTGTGACAAACACTGATCATGAAGCAATCGACTGACATGATTCCCTTCAAGTACGAATAAGGGAAATACTTTATGTTACTGTGGATGACTGGTTGTTTAACCCGCTCCTAACCTACAATGACAGGTTAGGAAAGAGTTCTTCTTTGTTAAGTTGGACTTTTTTTGTTGACTGTTTTACGTTTCTATATTTTTACTTTTATTTATGTTTACTTTAGCTTTGTTTAAAGTAGTAGTAGTAGTAGTAGGGCATTACCTGCTGGAAATCATATAGATAAAGGGAAACCATAGGAAGACTAATATAATTCTTGATATGTTGCAGTCAAGAAGAAGTACTTGATTTTGCCACAGTTAAGCTTTGTTTATATTCTGGTTGGCTTTTGATATGAGATTTTTTTTTTATTTCATGGCTTGAAGATTACAGTGAATCTTTTTTTTGTTAGCTTGATTACATGATATATTTTAGATGTATTTTCTTGCAAACATTATTTTGTTTTTTCTAATGAATCTATTGAAATAGCTCTATGTTACAGATGTAGAACAAAGAAAGACTTTCTTGTAATATTGTACTGTAACTTACAAATGGTAGGCTAATGACCTGCCCTAGGGACATGGATGGATGACTGAACAAGCCAACTGGGCAAAGTCTCAGGGGACAAGAGCTTCTATTGAAGGTCACTGTTGACATTTTATGTTCAGAGAGATGCAAGACTACCATAAAGCAGCTGAAAACAACCCTGACGAGATGGAAAAATGAACTTCAAAGAGACACAAAGGAGTACTAAGAACACAACAAAGTACTAAAAAGAGATGGAAGCAACTGAGCGTGATACAAAACAATCAGACACAAACAACTACAGAGACTCAAACCAACTATAAGTAGACTTAAAACAATCGCAAAGTGACACAAAACAACCACAGAGACGTAAAGCAACAAGATAAAGACTCAAAACAACAAAAAAAGAGACTCGAAACAAACACAAACAAACCTCATTCGCTGCATTATTCATAGTCATTTGTTTAGGTCCAGGGGTCTTGCTGCTATGTAGCTGGACTGAGGGGGCCCAAAATAACAGCAAAAACTCTCAAAACAATCACAAAGAGACTCAAAACAACTATAAAGAGACTTCAAACAATCGCACAGACAAAGAACAACCACAAAGAGGCTCAAAACAACCACAAAGAGACTCAAAACAACCAGAAATCAGCTGCATTATTCACAGTAATTTGTCTCTTTAGGTCTGGGGGTCTTGCTGCTATGTAGCTGGGTTGGGGGGCCCTTTAACATCTATGTGTCTAGTGGCCAGTTGCCTCATAACCATCCATCCATGTCCTCAGGGCATTTTGTCCCCTCCTAGTTTCCTCTACAAACCTGCAGCACCAGCAAGTGGGCTACTACTGCCATCTACTGGTCAGGAAAAATCATTCTTTACAACCTCAAAGTTCAACATGCTGAAACACAGTTAGGACATAGGACGGTACTCTGGAATCTAGAGCTCGGACGCCAACTCTTGGCTCAACTTGACAAATAGGTTTACTTTAGTTTCTGGAAATCTTCAGCTGCAGTTCGATTGGTGGACGAACCAACAGACTGCCACCTTCTTTACAGTGAGCCATTGATTCACAATCTAATCAGATGTGATTATTTGAGTGATTGTGGGGGAGAAGAAAAAAAAAATGTTACACTGCACATGCAGAGAACTGACTTTATTTAGTATTGTACAGCTGTTGTATGGACCATTTAACTGTGTCAAATAGTATTGGGTTTTGTCGACATTGTAGACCAATGTGCCATGCTCCAATGACAAGTTGTTTTCACATTTTAGTGCACACATGTACGAAAATTACCATTGTAGCTCCAGACTGGTGTAGGTGTTCTTATGTTATAGCTCCACAATCACCATCACACTCAATTTATATGGCAAATGCTGCATTTATTTATTTATTTGTTTTTATTTTTTATTTTTTTCCCCACTGAATCTATATAGGAAGAGTTTCATTTAGCAGCTGTACTGTGTTTGAAGAGACGGGTCGTGACGGCTGCTGCTTTAAAATGAACCAAGGGCTGAGACCTACAGGATAATGGTGTTTTGTTTTGTTTTGTTTTGTTTTTTTTGTACTTTTAAAGTGTGACTTCATTTATGCAAAGTGGGAAATGGACCAACCTAGCAAGCAGTTGTCATGGCAACCATGGATCATATGAGATCCTGAATTAAAATGCAGTTGATGCTGACTAAAATTTGAACACTTCTGATTCATCAAGGAGCTAAAGTGACCCACATTTCTGACATCTTGTCAATGCAGCATCAGCAGTGGAGGGTGTGGTCATGTTGTAGTGACCTCAGGACCCTCACTGCTGAATTCTATACCATAATTCCATAACAGGTCGAAAATACTGACTTAAAATGATGAGATATGGCCAATTCTCAGGCTGTATGTACAATATGTAGTTACAGGTCTGTCATAATCAGCCTTAATCATGTATCTCAATTTAAAATGTTGTGTTGATTTAAATACAAGCTGCTGTCGGCCTCCTTGTGCTAATGAGTCTGTGCTTGTGTTGCTAATTGCAGATTAGCAAAATGTTTGTAGTCCAGGCAATTCAGTGTTTGGAAAAGAGTTTTTTTTTTTTTCTCCATCGCAATAATGTGTCATCCCACTGTTTTCGACCACAACATCGCTACATGACCCATTGCGTGCAGTTCACTTGTACTCCTTATAAACAGATGTTGTCAGAGGATCCTCACTGATGAGTTGCAGTAAAGGGAACTCATGCCTGTGCATGTTCATGATGTATCTGTACAGACTGTCAATAAATGGATGATTCCAACCAACTTTGATGAAAAAAAAAAAGGGTAATATATATATGACAAAATAAGCTGTGGCATATTCACCAGAGGCCGGATTTGTTTTAGTTAATCTGGTAGCTTAGCAACAAGGTCTTTTGTGTGTCTATGAGAAAGAACAGGCGTATACAGTTAGACAAAAACGCGGCACTCCTTGTGAAAATGGGTGCATATGCGCTCCTGTTTTATCTGCAACAAAGTCGAAGTAACACCCACATGAATACACATAAGGTTTCCCAGCAGAACATTGCATTATAAGATAAGTGGTTTTAATGTTGTAACCGATCAGTGTACGAGTCCTAAAATATCTGAGCTTGTTGCAACTTTATGCCACGAATTCTCTACATGTTTGGATGCATTTTAACTTTTATGGCGTATCTTCCCTGACAGGGCTGCAGGGTGGCGCAGTTGGTAGCACTCGCAGCAAGAAGGTTGCCGGTTCGCGTCCTGGTGGGGGCACCGGAGTCTTTCTGCGTGGAGTTTGCATGTTCAGTGCAGCGTGGGTTCTCTCCGGGTTCTCCGTCTTCCTCCCACACAGTCCAAAAACATGTTGAGGTTAATTGGTGATTCTAAATTGTCCGTAGGTGTGAATGTGAGTGTGCTTGGTTGTCTGTCTCTAAGTGTAGCCCTGTGATAGACTGGTGACCTGTCCAGGGTGTCCCCTGCCTTCGCCCTAAGTCAGCTGGGATAGACTCCAGCCCCCCATGACCCTAGTGAGGATTAAGCGGTGTATAGATAATGAATGGATCTTCCCTGACAACTGTGACATAATGTACGCACGTGTTACGTGGCATTGCGGAAACATTCCACAACCCGACGAAGCAGGAAAAGAAGCAGCATGTGCAGCCACCAATCACAAGGGTTCATCGAAGTTCAGGCTCTCTGTTTGCAGCTTGTATTTCAAAGTAAGAGCTCCTTGCTACTGAGTATCTCTATCCTGTAGTGTTAAAAGAACCAGTTGAGCTGGATAAGCGTCACCGGGATCGTTTTAAATGACTAAGATTGTGTCTTGTGTAAGTTTAAATAACCTTTTCACTGCCCAGTGTTTTTAATGAATCGACTGGAAGAACCACACAGAGCATCCGGACGGATTTCTTCCCTGTATTATTTATTGAAAACCCAGCAGTCGTCTTTAATACCTGTTGTGTCTGTACAGGCGGCGGAGTAAGGAGATGTGGTAAACTAAACTAGCTGTCATTCGGTTGTCAAGAAAATAAGTAAAGGACAAAAAAAGACAAAAAATAAAATAAAACACTCCGATGTGCTACAGAATGACACCCTTGTACTGTTTTCTCAGATTTCTTTTAACACTTGTTTTTAAAAATGTTACACGGATGCAGAGGAGATGGGAGGAGGAGGGGGAGCATTGAGGAAGAAGAGGAAGTGTGACAGCAGTTCAGAAGATAAGAAAAAATGTTTTAAATGAAAGACTGGTTTGGGTGTGTCTTTTAAAATAGTTGATCTGTTTCTTCCTCTGCCAAGTGTTGCTTTTTCTTCTTTTGTGTTGTGAAAAGCCAACAGGAGACAAGCGTTGACGGTCATCTCTCGTTCTGTCTCTTCCTCATCGTTTCTTTGGAAGTTGGGCTGTGCGGGGAGGAGTGACGGGCCGACCGGAGTTCATCCCTCCATACTGGTACTTGGCTTTCTTCTCAGATGGCTTCAGGATCTAGAAACAGACACGAAGCAGCAGCATGAGCTTTCACTTAAGAAATAACCTCTTCTTAATGTATACATTAAAAGTTCTTTTTGATATGTCAAGAAGTATATTTAGTCAAGTGTTAGATAAGGACTGATAAAACCACAACACTGTTGACTTGTTCAGAAGGTGATGATGCGTCACAACAGTTTGCTCAAATACAAGAATATCTAAACATTACCAGGGATACGATAACGTCACAATAAATTGCCTTTGATATTATATCACGATACATTGTCGCATGACACGATAACATCGCGATACATTACCAGGGATACGAAAATATTGCGATAAATTTCCTGCAATATGATATACTACTATATTGCGATACATCACCCACGATACGATTATATTGTGATATATTGCCAACAATACGATTATATTACGATATATTACCCACGATGCGACAACATCACCAACACATTGCACCTTGATTGCCACTTGATACAATTATATTGTGATATATTGGCAACAATACGATTATACTGCGATACATCACCTTAGTGTGGTCGCGTATTATTATTATTCAAGTTTAATATTGTGAATTCTATCAATTAGCCTTATACTTGTTCCCCCTCGCTGTTTCCCCATTTGTTTGTTATCTTTCATTCACTTCTCATTCATTTCCTAGGTGCCACTACTACTAGTAAAGATGTAGCTACTCTGGTAAGTCAAATAATCGTTGGAATCTGTTTAGAGTGCTGTGATGTTTTTTGAAAACATAGACGTTGATATTCGCTGCTGGTGTGTCAATACAATATGTTGCTGTGTCTACTTTGAATCTCTATTTCTGACAGGATGCAACCATATAAAATGCTTAAATGAATTAAAAAGTTGCTTACTCCCTAATGCATCTGTAAAACAAGCTGTCTAAGGAGGGGTTTATGAGAACTATTTATTCTCATATGTTTTACTGCTCCCACTTTATAGCCTGTTTTAAAATATCCCATACTTTATCTGGGTGATGCGAGTTTTACTTGTTTTAAAGATGCTGCTGACAGCAACCAATCAGCTTTTACAGCCGTGCTTCCTTTTTCCATTTTCTGCACGTACTGGAAATGTAGGGATCAATGATGCACAAGTACAATCCTGGGGCTGTATTTATGAAGTCACTTAGTGAGAACTCGCCAAGATTTCTTAGTGTGATGCATATTTAAAAGGTTTGTATCAACTTTTTTTAAAAACTTGGGACATGGTTGTAATGATATTTAGGTGTCCTGACCTGATATATATCACCAGCAGTGAAAGAGAAACAGTAATGCTGCGACTATGCACAAAGTGTATAACTACCATAATATAATAGTATAATTTTCCTGTTTGAGTTTCACTTCTATGTCACAGTGTCTCACCTGGAAGGAGCACATCAGGGTTTCATCGACGCTCATCATGCCGCCGGCGTTGTCAAACTCTCCGCAGTAGTTGGGAGCTGAGAACAGAGTCACCAGCTGCCGCTTGGCAAAGAACTCATACCCATCTTCTACCACCTGAGGGCGTCAGACACACGGAAACAGGGAAGGACTGATGTGAGCTTCTGTCAGCACTTTATGCAAATATGTAAAGTTTGGATACACTCAGATAACTTGTGTTAAACCACACCTGGATGTGTTTCTAGGAAGCGTTACACTAGTTCTCTATGCATTCTAATGGTTAGCGGATGTGTGTGTGTGTGTGTGTGTGTGTGTGTGTGCTGTACCTGGTGGGCTCTACAGATGAGGTCCAGGTCGTGGCGGTTGAGGAACTTGCTGACCACGTCGGCTCCGAAGGTGAAGGAGACGCCGCGGTCGTTCTCTCCCCAGCCCTGGACGTCCTTGTCTGGGTCGGACCACAGCAGGTCGCACAGGAGGCCTGGAGGTAAATAAAAACAAAACAAAACACACACAATATTACCCTCCTCTTCCTGCCCTGGAGGAGTTCATATCTGCTGCATACACACAGGACAATAAGCATCTAGCCCAGAGGATGAAATCATCTCTGAGCAAGTCGCCTTATGTGACATTCACTGAAATGCTAACATATACATTCTTCACATCAAAACACTCCAAGTCTCCCTCAAAGACCATAAGAGGATCTGAAAGGCGGCGGCTGCCAGGGTCTGGACGCTGGCGGCCTTATAAGGACAGGAACAAGCAGGTTTAATGAAGAGGGGGCAAAGACGGCGACTGAGAGAGGCTTCACTTCCCCTCGCTTGACAGAACCGCACAAGGAACACTGAGCTTCAACCCAACTAGAAGAAAGTGAAACTAAGAGCTGAAGCTGGGTTCAAGTGAAAAGCAAGTTTAAACCAAACGCTTGACAGATGTTGGCAGCTGGATGCCAGTAGTGTCTCTTGCCCTTAATGGTAATAACACCAGAAATTGAGAATATCCGTCATTAGCTGAGCTTATAGATTTCAGAATGCTTGAAATCACAGTGGAAGCAGAGGCACCGTCCTCCCTCAGAGTTTAACCTGAGTTATTTCTGAAGCTTCTTGAGGAGTGAGGTGACCACGCTTGGAAGTATAAACCATCACATGCGTGTTGTAGTTTTCCAGCAACATCAGAGTCCAAAACTTTACCGACAGAATAATACAGGTGACTCGGTCAGACAAAAACAATTTTAGAGGTTTCTCAAGTCTAAAAACAACAACCTCAATAAGGACAACGAACAAAGTTTGGCTTGGTATTCCTTCTGTTCTTAAAGATCATCGAAAGATCTTCTTTAAATTAGTCTTTGGAGACAAACTCCAAAGTTTGCTAAAAGTTTATCTGAAGCTAATGCGAGGTTTCAACAGAACACATATATGTAGTGCTTTGCGGAGACTTTAAAATAGGACGTAATTTGATCCCACCCTGTCCAATATCAGCACCACATGTTACGACTTGTCCTTTTCCTTATCTTGTGTTAATTTTGAAAGATTTCTGTAAAAGTGTCACAGTGTTGGGGAATAAATTGTTTGCATTTAAGCAGCAATCCATCAAAAAGCGCCTGATCCTGTGGACGGGATGTGAACGATGCTAATACACAACCTCCAGAGGTTTACTTGTGCTTTCAACTAGAGCTGAAACAACTGGCGGATTAATTGATTATTTAATCAAGTGAAAAATACTCCGATTTAGATTTTTGCTTCCTTGTTTCAATCATTTATGAAGCAGCTTGAAGGTTCTCAGACGTGACGAATTGATGCTTTTCTTGGCCACATGTGACGTTAAATTTAATATTTATTTTTGCAATTTTCTGACTTTACTCGACCAAATTATTAACTCATAAATCGAGAATGTAATAACTGGATTAATCAAGTAAGTAGGAATGTGGACGCATCATCAGCAAAATGTTCTGAGTTATGAAAAGTACAAGTACAGTGTGTTATATTATTGTACACTGGATTCACGAACCATGTTCAGGACTAAGTATTTCTAACATGATCATTACGTCAGTTCTGTATGTAGACATCTAAAAAGTTTGTAAGTAGCAGCAGTAGATAATACACGACTAAGTCAAGTGAAAGCACCTGAGAGTTAAGTATAGTAAGTAAATGCACTACTTTTACTAATAATTTATAATCCTGTCCAGAGGTCCCTGACATGCAGAACACCTGGCCAGCTGTGCAGATGTGTGACCTACCTGTGTCGGGCACGTCTGTGGGTCTCATGATGCGTCTGATCTGCTCCATGGACTGCAGGTCAGGAGAGAGACCTGCCGGCGACACAACAACACAAAACCCGTCTGTCGGTAAATCTCTTCAATCTCACCCTCCCTGGGCGTCAGGTATTAACTCATATCAGCCATAAACTTGCTGTGACCCACTTACTTCGCACCAGACCGGTAAACCCGAACGACGGGCGGCTTAGGAAAGGTCGTGAACTTTATCTTTTGTATTCTAGATCATATCATGCGAGCGAGGAGAGGAGAACTCTAAACTAACCTACGGAAAAAAAACAAGGCGTACCTCCGTGACAGCAGAAGATCTTCTCGTCCACGATGGCAGCGATGGGAAGGCAGTTGAAGCAGTCGGTGAATGTCTTCCACAGCTTAATGTTGAATCTGCGTTTACCTGCAACATCAACGACACAGAGAGTCAGCAGGCCTTATAAGGGCCGCCTAAATCGTTGTTATGAGCTCATGGGGTTTAAGACACATCTGGAATAAAGTCTTTGGCGCTGTCCATTGATCCCATCGCTCAATATTACTTTAAATTAAATACGGAGCTTCATAAGATGCGTCTTACTAGATACACCTTCATAAACTGTATTACATGAGGAAAAAATAGTCAGATTTTGGAGTTTGGTTTGTTGGTGCTAGTTTAAGATGCAGACCTGTGTGCGCAGCAAGGTTAAACTCTGAAAGGCCGGCAGAAATGAGCTGCCTTTTCTCGAGTATTTCCATTGCGTGTTCCTGTTTACCTTTACCTTGACTACATTTATACATCTTTGAGGTTATAAAACAGTGGTTTCCATTATTCTGACTCAATAAAACCCCCCCTTACAGCCTCTTAGTAGGTGTTAGCAGAGACTTTCGCCGTCTAAACTCCTCTAATCACTTCATATTAATGGCTGCTTGAGACCCAAAGGAGTAAAGTTTTTCAATAAGTTTGAAAGATATTGCAAATAATAATCACATGACCCCAACATGACAACACCTATGCTACAAAAACTAGCCGAACTTTAGCTTGATTTCTTACTACTTTTGACACACTAAGCAGCTACTTCTGTACATTTGAGTGCCGCTTTAATTCTAATCTTTATATCTGCTGCCATGAGATTTTGAAAATAAACCGTTATCTCTAAATTATCTTAAACCTTTTCAAGGATTCAAAACGTAGCGCTTCACCTAAAAGAGTTCGCTTGACTGCTTCTCTATTGCGGCTTTTGTTCCGGTCATATCTTTGCAAAGTCGCGCGTAACGATCCAACACAAAGGGACTCGAGTAGGGATGGGTGCCATTAAGATTTTAACAGTAGCCAAAGTGCTTATCGACCAGGTACTTTAAACCACACTTTTATCGGTTGTTTTTATTATTTTTTAGGAGAGAAAAAAAAGTAGGAACAGATTTACCATTGTTTTTTTTTCTCTCTCGTTGTTATGGCTCTTTTATTCTTTACTTTTAAGGAAAAATCTGAAGGCAGGACGTTTTCTTTCACAGTACTTTTAGGGGTTTTGCTTAATCTACCAATACTTCTTCCCGCATTGCCAACACAAACTATAGAAATGTAAAAATAAAGTAAAACAGAGTTTGTTTGCAGCTCCCCAATACATAAACCCCCTCCACTCTGAGCGCTTTCAACAGTTCAGATGATGCGCAGATCATTACAGATTGAATTTATGAACACACCCATAGCTAAACAATCAGCTGCCTAATGCTCACTCATTACCCAGTATTAATAGAATTTATTTAGCTCAGTGTGGGGGCTCTAGGTAGTAAGCACACATAACACAACTGGAGTCAGGCAGTCAGACGGTGTAATTCTACGCCTCTTTGTGATGGACTTTCACTAGATGTTTAAACAGATTGATGGTGTTTCGCTTTTGCGCACAAGACCTACTGTTGTCGCAAAGACCAGAGCTAGCCTCGCCCCTCTCACTGCATCATCGAAGTGGTGAGATAAAACGTGCAAGGTGACGTTTATGTAGCAATAATAAATAGTAAATCTCGTTTCTTAATTTCTCCAATAAAGCTGATTGATCCTCTGGTCTTTAAATAATTGGAGCCTACCGGGTTTTAGTACCAAACTACACAAAAGCAGGACGCTCACACTCGTCGTAGAAGCCGTAGATGCGGTTGATGGAGGCACACTCGTGGTTGCCCCTGAGCAGGAAGAAGTTCTCGGGGTATTTGATCTTGTACGCCAGCAGCAGGCAGATGGTTTCCAGAGACTGCTTCCCTCTGTCCACGTAGTCTCCCAGGAACAGGTAGTTGGCCTCGGGAGGGAAGCCGCCGTACTCAAAGAGCCTCAGCAGGTCTGTGTACTGTCCGTGGATGTCGCCTGGGATGAAAATAAATGGATACACTAAATTTGTTGTCTCGCTTAATGCTATTAAGATTGTCACAAGGTGTCCATAAAGTGTGCCGGATTAGCCATTAGCAGCTGTTTGCAGTGTACCCTTGGACAGCTTTAATTGGATTAGTCTGACCACTAATGAAAACTTAAACATTCTTAGTGAGGTTCTGGAGTCACGAAGGACATGATTAGTGTACACTGGAAACTGTAACATCAACCTAAAGTGCACCTAATGGAAAAATATATGGATCTTGTGTAAGTCTGACAAGGAAAACAAGGGTCATGAGGGTTCCCGTGCATGACAGATGTTTGTACTGACCACAGATTTTGAGCGGAGCCTCCAGCTCCAGGAGGATTGGCTGACTGAGGAAGATCTCCCGAGACTTGATGCAGAGGCCGCGAACCTCCGCCTCCGTCATCTGGACGATCTTCCCTGGACGACATCCTCGCACTGGTGGAGGGGGGGAAAAGAGAGGTAAAGTAAGGTTACAGAATAACAGCCAAACTGTTTCGTGATGCTCTTGCTATTCAGGAGCGTCTCTGACAAAGCTACCCAGGCGTAAGCTGTGAGAGTCTTTCCCTGAAGTTTTCTCAGGGTTATGACTCTGTTGATCATCGCACTGCTTCCGTCGGGGCTCGTTTTTTAAATGAACTTCAAACTAAATACGGGAGGCAGGGTTTAGTCAACACACGGAGGATAGAAATAGCCTGTGTGGGTATTGTTGATGTTGTCGGGAGTGTTTTTGGAGACGCTTCCTGTTGCGTAACAGAGCGGAAAAGAGAAAGGGGGGGGTCATGACAGTCAGGTGACTCTGGGACTGCTAAAGGGCCAAAGTGCTAAATGTACATAGGACTGGTATTAAAGTCAGCAGGTCAGTTTGACTTAATAAAGTGTAATAAATTAAATGTGGAGGATTTCAGACAGAGAACATTGGTTCCAAACACTGTGTAGCAAGTTTTAAATAACCCATCTGATGGTCATGTGTATTGAAAACAGACTATGCAAAAATAACTACCAAGCATAAGCTACAAAGCCCATGTAAAAAAAATTCAAATAAGTAAAATAAAGCTTAAAACTGGCACATTTAGTGTAAAGACCAGAAAATATATAACCGAGGAGTGTGTAAACAAGACTAAAATTATAAAATAACTTTATACCGACTCATCACATTTGATACCCATCCTTAACGGTTAATGGGTAACTTCATTTTTGAGTACAAATAACCCATTCACACATCTTTCTGTTTAAGTTTTCCACCTCTCGTGATAACCAAATAGGTTTATATGAAGTTATATATCCCCGTGATGAACGCAAGATGCTTAAATGAAACATTTAGGGATAAAGGTGTGATACAGCATGCTAAAGAACAGACACACTTGAGCATTAAACAAGTAGTCGATCCACTGTTTAGTCACTTTTTATAAAGCAAAATTGGCAAATATTTGCTCCAACTTTGTTTTTGTTGATCACACAGGGCAGCTAGCAGAATATCTTTGGATTATGTTATTTAGCTGAACTGCAGGCAGTGCCTATACAGATCAGACTATTCAAAGTGAAATAAAATGAGCAATAAAAGCAATTTAACTTCATTATTTTAATAATTTATGCCATTATAACTGCGACATACTGTACAGAATACGTTTCTGACTTTGCCCTACTTGCAGACATCGCTCTGCTCTTCACGTAGCGGTGCAGGACTTTCTGTTGCAGTGAAAAACGAGCCTACAGTGAGTAAAAATATGACAGGAGCACATAAAACCCCACAGACTGCTTAGAGGTTCAGACGGTTAAAGCTGACACATGCACCGCCGACGACCGCATACAGCTGTCTTTCTGATTTGAGTTTTCAACTTTTCCCCCTGCAAAAAATTTCCATGTTTTGCTGCTGCTGCTGCCCTAAATAATCCTGCTGTGCTAAGACGAGGATGAATACCAGCGCTACGGACACCTCCTCTTTCCGTCCTGCTCGGTAAACCGCAGAAGTGGGCCAGAGCTGACTAAGACTGCCGCTGACAGATGACACCGCAGCAACACGGTGGAAATCTTAGCAGGCGTCAAGCGGCATTTAATAAGCAGATCTAACAGATGTGGTCAGAAGAAAGCAGGAGATGCACAGCCGGAGGAGTTCGCTTTAACAAGGTGACGATCTTCCTACTTTGCACGAGCTTGTAGGGAAAGCAGACGGTGTGTTAGGTTCCTGCAGGTGAGTCCCTGCATCTCTATTGTACTTCAGAACAGGATGTAAAATACCTACAGCAGCAATGTGTGTGTACAGTTGCAATGTGACCCTGCTATTTCTGCCGGGACACCTTAGGAGAGAATGATAAACACTCCACCTGCCTCCCCGACCACAGCTAAACACAACCTGCGATCACACTCCCCCCTCACCCACCCACCCAAAAGGGCAACACCGAGGCTATATCAGGACCGTCCCAAAGGTAGCATTTCTCAGGTAAGCTGGAAAAAAACATCATGAGCCAAATCATGTGCAGGATTTTAAATGCTGGAGCGCTGCATAACAATCAGCGAGCACAACACAAAGGCAAGGAGAGTGTGTGTGTCCACTGAGATGTGTGCATCGACTGTCGAGAGAGTGATTTCACACCCCTCCCTCCCAGCTCCGCGATGACGCCTTTTGCACGTCTGTGCTGGCTCAGCTGACAGGGACGGAGGCCTGATATAGGACGCACACACCACAGCGAGCAGCACCTTTCGCCTGGGAGGATCCCCTTTCATCATACAGCTAAGTTGGGGCAAACACAAACTCACGAAAATACTTTCTCCATCTCCGTCCGCGAAAACACACACAAACAATGGCGGTGCGATCCGGTGACCTTGACTTCAGATCGTACCACTACAAGGTCGTGGGGAGGTATCCCAGCATCCTTTAGTCTGTCACCACTGCACTGCAGCCTCAACCAGTCGAGAGAAAGAGAAAAGGGAGAGAATGGGGAGGTGGCGCCCACATCTGATCACTATGGCAACCCAGCAAGACCAATTTTTCCAGCCTGCAAGGTGTTGGTGAGCCGAGCGGCTGCTGTATCTCGGGGAGGGAAAAGTAGCTGATTTGCAGATGAAGTGGCACCTCCAGCAGCCCACGCCCTGCATACTAACGCGTACCGCATCCGACAGCAGTAACGGAAAACCGACAAGAGACCTGCACGCATGGATAGAGCTCGTGATTTTGTCCAAATGTTCATCAGAACACCAATATCTCAAATTATTGATGGGATTTTGACACACAGAAGTTTCTTAAAGGTTCGGATAACACTGAAGCCTAAAACACAGTGCATCAACTGCATTTAAACAATCAATGCAACTATTAGGAACTCATTTAAGAGGTCAGAATATAGTACACTAATGGGATGCACACCGATCATTTGGTCTTTCATCACACGCCTCACCCAGAAACATTCTGTCCTGGCTACTGCTCACAAACACGTGTAACAGGAGTGGCACTAACTAAATGTTCTTGTTGTGTTGTGGATGAATCAGGGAGTTAGTGAGGCAGAGAGTGAGTTTGAATTTATTGTGCAGTCGTTTGTCTGGTTTGTAATTGTTCTGGTTCACAAGATAACTGATGCAAAACTCTGCCAATTTCACCCATCAGCATCAGTTTAAGTGGCACGGGGAGTTCTACACAGCTGGTGAAAGCAGCTGTTTAATGTCTTCTATGAAGGAGCTTTCCAAAAGAAAAAACACAAAGTCATGGTGATGAGCTTAGAGAGCACAACTTTACAAGAGAAAGTTAAAAACTGGGGTTGAGGAGTTTCAGGAATGAGAGAGCTGCTGTCATGCTGCATTATCAAAGTGGAGCATCTAGTTTAAGTTTGTAGTTTTTTACCGAACCTCGTAAAAACAAGATTTGGTTATGTTTACTGATGAAACAGCACATCACAGATGAGTAGTTCAAGGACTGATTCTTTTGTTTTTTACAGTCTCTGGCTCTCATAATTGATTCTTTAAAGATATCATACATTTCAAAACTGCTGGCACATCTTGGGATTGCGAGGATTAACCTGCGAAATAAATCTGCAAGAGAAATTCAAGTTTGTGTTTGTAAAACGAAACTGTGCATGGACGGAAAAAGAAGAACTTTTGTAAACACCACAGACGAAACTGAAAACTGTGTGTACCGGTACTCAAAGTTCCCACGCTGTGTACGACGCTGAAGCTACAAGTGGTCATTCTGACAGTTCAATCACAAAGCAAACAGACATTTTCTCGTCATAGTATCTATGAACGTCTATTTATAAACTCAGAATCTTATCAATTGTAATTTGAGCCCATGTCTGTGTTTTTGCAACATTTTTATATATATAAAACACTCAGGATGGATAGTTAGGATGTCTTGGCCTTCACTGTAAAACCTTTGGCCACTCCTTAAGTTTCTTGTGTGATACTAAATCACTGGAAAAGCCTTTCATTAGCTGAAGCAAGACTGAACAAGGCGCTAAAATGTTCCTGTGTGCTACCGCCATAACAAAAACAACCAAAAAAAAAAAAAAGACCTTAGATTTTCTGGGATTCTTTCTGTATTTGACAGTTGACAGTGAGGAGAGAGATGAAAAATAAGAGCAGGGACAGAAGGGGAGGTTATGTCATGGTCCCCTGACTAAACGTTGTTGTTTCTGGCATGAAGACAAACGTTTCTCAGATAAAAATGCAGTTGAAAGTGAAACGGTTGCTGGTTTTCTTAACTTTTTATGATAATAAACTGATTATTTGGGGTTTTTTTTTACTGGTGGAACAGACTGCTTGAACAACGTGATGCATGTTTGAGCTGTAACATCAGTTGCAGAGATGTTGAATACAATACAGGCTAAAAGAAAAAAAAAAAAAAAGATTCAAATGAAAGTCTAAATTAAGCACGTGAAAGTACACTAACGAACCCAACGACTGACTCACAATCCAAACAGATGCACGGTGTTTACCAGTCCCTGTCGCTACTTTCTCGGTGGCTGCGGTGAGAATGAAGCGGACTCTTGCTAAAACAGCTGTCGAGCTTCATTTTACGACGGGACACTCTGGACTTCTTTCAGGCGGGAGGGGGGGAATTGATGTCCTCTGAGCTTTTCCCAGCTGGTTCTTACACAACTTTAATGAAAATCTCTTTACTGAGAAAACCTTCCAGTTCATCTCTCCTAATTTGGTCAGGTGCATGCGTCCGTCTTGCCAGAGCCTCTTAAGGTT